CTGCATAGCTGTCTTGCTACCTTGGGATATCGAGCTCCTTACAGAGCCATACTTCAAATCCAACGACACAGCTTGACGTAGACGAACACCATCACGCACAGCCGGGGCACGGAAACGGTACCGACATCCATGACATTTGACACCAAAACCTGATTTCTACCTTATGTGTCTAACCTGTGGAGGAATTACTATGTAGTCAGAGTGTGCGCATTATATTGTTTAGATTACCTATACAAACACACTGCTCCCTTATTTCCAATTGTGTATAAATCGCCTTTGTTCATTGGGTGAAATCGTACTTTTTGTAAAGTATACAACACAACTGGTTCTTTGCCGCTCCCTAGGCGCCCCGTTTTTGAGACCGCACCAAGATCATGTTGCTGATCGTCCTGCACCGCGACCTCCAGACATTGACGCCTCATCAGTCGTAGACGTGTTTCTCGAGGACCTCAATAAACTGCGTAGCTTTGCCATCGATCCCCGAAGCCAGGAAGAATTTTACGGAGCTTGTCGTCATGGGCCTCACGCGCCCCCGGGCGACTACAGAAAAACATGACGCACCCCCGTGCCGCCGTCTGCGCAGCCACGGCCCGACGAGCGCATGAAGAAGTGATTGCAAGTCTCTACGTATGCGAAACGTTGTAACAACAAAATAACGCGACACACGTTCATGCATGTACAACACAACTGTCCAAGTCCCATGAGAATTGAAAACAAGATAGGAGTGCCATCTGGAACTATGTCTCTATTACTGTCAACAACATCATCCGCCAAAATGACTACAGTAGTACCTGGGTTGAACAGATGGCGATTTGACGTATTTATGGTAATTCCTCCACAGGTTAGACACATAAGGTAGAAATCAGGTTTTGGTGTCAAATGTCATGGATGTCGGTACCGTTTCCGTGCCCCGGCTGTGCGTGATGGTGTTCGTCTACGTCAAGCTGTGTCGTTGGATTTGAAGTATGGCTCTGTAAGGAGCTCGATATCCCAAGGTAGCAAGACAGCTATGCAGCCTATTCCTCTGGACGAGCCTGGTTGATGCAGTCCACCTTGGCACCCACGTTGCACATTAAGCCAGTTGGTCGTTGCCATCTGTTGGTGCCAAACATGTGGCCTCGAGCAACTCAGATTTCGCGGACGGCGTCGTCGACGACAACAACGCCAACCTCACTTTACAATTTCCCTTGTCCATCACTACTAGTCATGAAGGTCGTTGTCGCCGTTGCTGCCCTTGTGGCCGTTGCCCAAGCCAAGATCGCGAGCTCGGTCCTCCGCGAACTCGAAACCAAGGGCTCGTCCTCGGTCATTGTAACCTTCAAGAAGGACGCAACCGAGTCGCTCGAGAACTACGAGCTCATTGCCAACCCGGCCGAGCGCCGTGAAAAGTTCGTCGAGGCCGCGATGATCGAAGCGACCAAGCGCGCGTCGGCGCTCACCGATGCCATCGGTGCCGGTGCCGAAGTCAAGAGCTTCTGGATCGCACCCGTCGTCTCGATCAAGAACGCCAACAAGGCCACGCTCGACAAGGTCGCGTCGCTCAACAACGTGGCCAAGGTCGAGTCCATCCACAACATCAAGCTCACCACGGTCATCAAGGGTAAGAAGAACTCGCCCGTCGACAACGACCGCCCGACTGGCATCCAGTGGGGTGTCGACACGGTCGGTGCGCCCGCGATCTGGGAGTACACCAAGGGCAAGGGTGTCGTCATCGGCTCCATTGACACGGGTGTCCGCCACACGCACGAAGCCATCAAGTCCAAGTGGCGCTCCGACCGTGGTTGGTACGACCCGTACAACCAGACCGCGCTCCCCGAAGACATCGATGGACACGGCACCCACACGATCGGCACCATGGTCGGCGACTACGGCATCGGTGTTGCCCCCGAGGCGCAGTTCATTGCTTGCCGCGGCCTCTACGAAGGTAGCGGTGACGACGAGTCGCTTCTCAAGTGCGCCGAGTTCATGGTGTGCCCGACCAAGCCGGACGGCTCGGACCCGGACTGCACCAAGGGCGCGGACCTCGTCAACAACTCGTGGGGTGGTGACGCCAGCTCGAGTACGTGGTTTGCCGACGTCATTGACGCGTGGCACAAGACGGGTATTACGCCCATCTTTGCCAATGGCAACGAAGGCCCTGTCTGCGCGAAGACCGACAACCCGGCCAGCTACCGCAACGTCATCTCGGTTGGTGCGCTTGGCTCGTACGATGACTCGCCGAACGACCTCGCCTTCTTCTCGTCCAAGGGCCCGGCCCGGTACCGGGATGCCAATGGCGATATGCACACGATCGTCAAGCCTGATATTTCGGCGCCCGGCTTCTTCACGTACTCAGCCGTCAACTCGAGCGACACGCTCTACGACTACAACGCCGGCACGTCGATGGCGGCGCCGCACGTTGCTGGTGTTGTTGCTTTGATCAAGTCGGTGCAGACGGACTTGACGTACAACCAGATCTACCACTACCTCACGACGACGACGGTCAAGGACGTCTTGACGGCCGAGCCCGAGGAGTGGGTCCTTCGCGACAAGAACAAGACGACCTTCGCCGGCGCGCCCAACTGCGGTGGCGTCTCGGACAACGCGTGGCCCAACAACCGTTATGGCTACGGTCGCGTCAACGTCACCAACATCCTCGCCGGTGGCAAGCTCCCCAACCCCAGCGCGTGCTAAAACGCTCGCGTTGTGCTACCCATGTCTCGTTTTATAGTCTGACATGCAAGATAATTGTGCGTGTACCAACGCCTTGTCAATTCACACTTGTTCATAACTACCTTCAAGTGTCGACTAGACAGACACAGAGATCGCCTCGACCCACTGCTCTGGTTGAGCGTACTGGCACCGCGCCAAGTGGACCTCGACACGGTTCGGCGTCACCTCGACGCACGACTCACCTTGGCGGATACGGTGGTGCGCAGCGTCGATGGTCCACCGTTGTGTCACGGCGGCCGCCTCACAAAGCGTTAGCTGCAGCAAAGAGCCATGCGCGGTCCAGCACAGCGCTGCGGTCTCGTCGCCCGTTCGGAGCGACTGCGTGTCGGCGTCGTACTCGAAGACTTCGCCAATGGTACCGAGGGGCCGGCGCGACGCAACGTCATGCCCATCACGCGCGAGAACGCGGCGATCCTTGGTCGTCAGTCGCACAAAAATGGTCGAAGGTGGTAGCTCCGTCGACAACTTCGGTCGAAACCACTGGGTGAGCGCCAACGGCTCGCACGGCGCCAGCGTCGCGCGTGCACCGGGCGGCTGCATGTCGACGCACGACCCCGGCAGCGACACCGACTCGATAGAGTCATCTCGCAGTAGCCATCGTTGCATGGGCGCCGAATCATTGCAACGTCCCCACTGCACAGCGGCATGGTGGATTACGTCGAGGCAGTGGCCATCCAGATGCGCTGACCGAAGCATTTGACGGCGGGCGTCGTAGTGGAAGCGCTCGTGGGAGGTGTTGTGCACCGAGTCAGTGATGAGCCGGTGCTCCCATGCCGCCAAAACGTGTTTGGTGTACGTCATCAGTGCGATTGGCAATGACGATGCTTCGGGCGACGGGGCCATGCGAGCGAGGGCGACGACTGGCAGCGGCGCAGACACTGGAATCGCCGCGTCGAGGTGCCGTAACATATTGGCGACGCTCACGCGGCCGTAGCCATACCGGTTATTGGGCCACGCCGTGTCTGGCATGCCGCCGCAGTTAGAGGCCCCCGGCGCCGTGGCGTTGTGCGGCATGGTCCACGTTGTAGGCTCCGATTGCAACGACGTTCGCTCCGTGGTTTGAGTGACGAGTTCGTAAATGTCGTCGTACTTGAGGGTCGGGCGGTAGCTCTTGAGGAGCGCGACGATGCCTGAGACATGCGGTGCGGCCATACTCGTGCCCGCGAGCTGCCCGTAGCGGTGGTTGCCCGTGTATTTGGCGGACCGAATGAAAAAGCCGGGCGCTGCCACGACCGGCTTGATGAGCTTGGACACGACACCGCGACGATCCATGTAGGTCGCGGGCCCTTTGGCCGAAAAGTACGCGAGTTGCGTCGGGTCATTTGTGTGGGAGCCGACGGCGCCGACCGAGATGACGTTGGGGTACCCGCCGGGGTTGCCGGCGCTCGCACACGCCGGACCCTTGTTGCCAATCGAGAATACCGGCGTGATGCCCGCCTTGTGCCAAGCCGCGACCGCACCTTCAAACCACGGGTGGAACGTCGCACCACCCCACGAGTTGTTGACGACGTCGGCGCCTTGGCTGCAATCGGGGTGGCTACCGTCGGAAAACGTCGGGCACAGCATAAACTGGGCACACTCGAGCAGCGCCGCCGACGTCCCGCGTCCGTTGAGGAGGCCTTTGCACGCAATCCACTGCGCGCCGGGAGCGACGCCGATGCCGTGACTGCCCACCATCGTGCCGGTCGTGTGCGTGCCGTGGCCCGTGTCGTCGCTCGGTACGCGCGTGCGGTTGTACGGGTCGTACCACCCTCGGTGGCGGCGCCAGTTGCTCTTGAGCGCTTCGTGCGAATGGCGAACGCCCGTGTCGATGGAACCGACGACGATGCCAGACCCGTTGGCGAGTGGCCACATGGCTGGCGCACCGACGGTCGCCACGCCCCACTCGACGTCTTTTGACGTCGTGTTGTCGTCGGCTCCCGACAGCACCGGGTCGAGCTCGATCACCGAGACAGGTTCGATCGTGACGACATCCGCGAGCAAGGCGAGCGCCGCGACAATCGAAGCCGACGCGTTGTGCACGACGGCACTGCTGCTGATCCAAAAGGACGTACTCGCGTGGTCGTGAAGAAGCGCCAACGCCGCCTTTTGAGACGCGATCGCGTGGTCACGCAGCGCTTGAAAGACACGAGTTCGATGGTCGTGGTGCGACGGCGTCGATGCCACACAGTCCAGTGCTGCTTGATGACTCGTAAACGTCACGAAGATGTCCATGGTATCGTACGCGGCCAAGTGTCGGTGGACGTGCGGCGTGACCTTGGCGGTCGCGCGCGCCGGTAGAAGCAGCACGTAGCTGAGAACGCCCGCAAGAACGTACCGGGTCGGACACAGCATGCTGCTTCTGGAATGCTTGGCATCGTGGGCCTGGCCACGTGCCCATATGTCGTATCGCTGCCACACGGAGAGGACCGTTGGTGGTAAACAGGCCGAATGCGCATGTTGGCGGCATGTTGGAAGCTGGCTCGTGACCCCACGCCATGGTCGTCGTCACATGGTGATATAGACTCCGTCTGTATCGTGCACTTGAATCATTTCTTAGTTTTCGCTCCGAGCACTTGAAACGGCTTGGGACACTGACACAACGGGATGATTAAAAGCGTGCCGAAGCTCCGAGACGACCACGACCCAGAGCGTACCGGGACGTCAATTGCACGTCGACGGACGATCGTATGGCCGGTCTTATTCGCCAAGCGTGTTTACCTCGCTTGTAGCCGAGGGTGAGTACTGCACTAGATCTTTTAAATTCAGCCGTGATGTCCACGATTGCCTCGATGTTCAATTTTGTTTCTTCTTGCGATTGGCATGTCCACCGCGCTGGCTCTCGAAACGTCATTGAATAGTGTGCGAAGGAGCCCTCGCTCGCCCTACGATGGTCGCGTTCTATTCAGCGGCTCAAGATCGTACCAACAAAGTACATACTCTAGCTCTATTTGCATCAATCGGTCAAGGGTCAACACCCTTGCAAGCACGATACAATGTATCGTCGATACCGGCACCCACTCAAGACTCGTGACATACACTATTTCGTGCCCAAACACGCGACAACCCAATGGAATGTCGGTGTGGGAATGTAGGTCCTGTGCGACTGTGGCGATCTTTGCAAGCGGCCGTTCTCTCACTTCTACATTTCCCATCACAATGACAGCGCACTTGGCCAAACTCGACAGCATTCTCGACAACTGCGCGATCGACCAGCAGCACCCGTCGCCAGTGGACCCCACCCATGAGCGTGGCATCGCTTGCCTCTTTACGGTCCTCGAAGACCCGACGTTCTTCGACAAGCTCCACTGGACGTCGGCGCTCAAGAAGGCGGAGACGCGCGTCCTTGTGCGCCTCGACAAAGGCTGCCTCACGTACCTTCCGCCAGGCGCCGCGTCGCCGCAGTACCTTCCGACGCTACACACGGCCTTTGTACGGCACGGGAAGCGCCAGGTGCAGCTTGTCGCCCGCGGCAGCGACGTCATCAAGACGTTTGCTTTTGCGAGTCCGCTCCAAGCCACTGAATTTTGCGGCGCCGTGCAGCTGCTGCAGCACTTGGACCACTTGCGTCAGCCGCGGTACCTCCCAAAGGATTCGGATCCGGAGCTCTACAAGCAGCTGCACAACACACTCGCGTTTGCAACCGACATGTGGACGCAGGCGCTCTGGCAGCAGCTCTGGCCGTACTCGCGCCTCCTCGAGCTGCTGGCGTCCGGCCTCTCGCTCTTGCGAAAGAGTCAGCCGACGCGCAACGTCCTCAAGCAGCTCTTGGTGATCTTGGACGAAGTGCACGACGACTTTTTTCCACACGCGTCGCTCCACACCATGTCTGCAGACGAGATGCGTGCAATGTTGGACGACGTCAAGTGCTATCGAGCGTCGTATATCGCGCTTCTCGTCGGCAAGATCCAAGCACTCACGATCCACGTCGAGCTGTACCTCCATCCAGTCGCCTAGATGGACGAGCTTGCTAATTTATGATTTTGTTTCAGGAAACCGAGCATTGTCTATTAGTCGCATCGTATGTAATAGACACTAGAAACTAGAAACTAGGTTGTCCTACGAGCTGGCAAGTGCTATGCATGGTGTCAGGCCTCAGGCAAAGACTTGGTGATTGACGTCGGTTGCTCAAACGCGCGCTTTATCGACAGTATTGGCTCTCGTACGCTCCAGCAACCCAGACAACATTTCGTTGCCTCGTCGCTACTACTGAGACGAGAAATCGTTTTCCGACGCTGTTGATAGCAAAATGCGTGTCAAGATTGAGTGCCACAGAAGGGATGCTATCGTGCTAGAACGCCAAGGGCCATGACAAAAACCTTCAGAAGAGTAGACAGGACATGGAGGTGGAGGTGGATTAATGCAGAGTTAGTAGCAACGACGCACTTGATATCGGGACCGAAACGAAACGATGTACCACGAAAGGTGTGCTTAGCACGCGCTCGGGTTGGGGAACTTGCCACCGGCGAGGATGTTGGTGACGTTGACGCGACCGTAGCCATACCGGTTGTTGGGCCACGCCTTGTCCGAGACGCCGCCGCAGTTGGGCGCACCCGGCAGCGTGCGGTTGCGCGTGAGGATCCACTCCTTGGGCTCGGGCTGCAAAATGTCCTTGACCGTCGTCGTCGTCAGGTACCGGTAGATCTGGTTGTACGTAAGGCCCTTCTGCGCCGACTTGAGGAGGGCGACGACACCAGCGACATGCGGCGTCGCCATCGACGTGCCGGCGTAGTACTCGTAGTAGGCGTCGTTGACGTTGAGGGCCGAGTACGTGAAGAAGCCGGGCGCCGAAACGTCGGGCTTGACGATCGTGTGCACGTTGCCGTTCCAGTCCTTGTACTGGGCCGGACCCTTGGACGAAAAGTACGCGAGCTGGTTGGGCTCGTCCGTGTACGAGCCGACGGCGCCGACCGAGAGAACGTTCTTGTACGACGCCGGGTTGCCGGCCGTCGCGCAAGCAGGCCCTTCGTTGCCGTTGGCAAAGAGCGGCGTCACGCCGGCCATGTGCCACGAGTCAATGACGTCGGCAAACCACGTGTCCGTGCTCGCGTCACCGCCCCACGAGTTGTTGACGAGGTCCGCGCCCTTGGTGCAGTCCGGGTCCGAGCCGTCCGGCTTGGTCGGGCATACCATAAATTGAGCGCATTTGAGAAGCGAGAGGTCGTCGCCGCTGTCAATGTACAAGCCGCGGCAAGCAATGAATTGGGCGCCAGGGGCAACACCGATGCCGTAGTCGCCGACCATGGTGCCGATCGTGTGGGTGCCGTGGCCACCGAGATCTTCGGGGAGCGCGGTCTGGTTGTACGGGTCGTACCAACCACGGTCGGCGCGCCACTTGGACTTGATGGCCTCGTGGGTGTGGCGGACACCCGTGTCGATCGAGCCGACGACGACACCCTTGCCGTCAAAGTACTTCCAGATCGCGGGCGCACCGACCGTGTCGACGCCCCACTGGATGCCGTTCGGGCGCGAGTGGTCGGTAGGCGAGTTCTCCTTGCCCTTGATGACCGACGTGAGCTTGATGCTGCGGACCTTGTCGACCTTGAGCACGTTCGGGAGCTTGGAGATGGCGTCGACGGTCGCCTGGTCGACGTTCTTGACCGACGCCACCGGCGCGATCCAGAAGCTCTCAATGTCCGCCTTGGTGCCAAGGGCCTCACGGAGCGACGACGTGCGCTTGATCGCCTCGGCACTCGTCGCGGCGATGTACTTTTCACGGCGCTCGGCCACGTTGGTGATGGCTTCGTACGTCGCTAGCGACTCGGTCGCCTCCTTCTTGAAGGTGACGATGACCGACGTCGTGCCGTCGACTTCAAGCTCGCGGAGGACCGCGCTCGTGACCTTGGCGTGCGCAGCGGCCGCGAGGGCAGCGAGGGCAAAGAGGACCTTCATGATGGTAGTGGTTGCTGGCTGATACAAGTGAAATTGTAAAATGAACCGAAAAACCTCGACGCCGTGTGATCTGAGTCAGTCTAAAACATGTAAAACATGTGTTGGCGTGGGTGGAACTGTCCACTTGCGACGACGTGCTCGAAATCTAATCCTTGCTGCAGATACCATACACGAACTATACTGGGTGGGGTCGTCGCATTGAATGTGCTGGCGTGGGATCCATGCAGCCAATTCTGTAGAGACTCACGCGCTGCAGATGCACACACAAAGAGACGCGATGTGAGAAGAGGTGGACGCACATCCTAGATCTGATTTGGACCAGACCATCATCTAATCGGTTCGTGCAGAAACCAACGAGCGGCCTTAGCGTGAACATCTGCCTTGCCCATATGGAGCATGTGTTTAAAACTGGTTTTTACGCGCGTGCACGCGAGCTCGGGCTGCCAGTGTATTGCACTACAAAATGCATGGTACACACCGCTGAAAACGCCAGCTTTGATTCGTAGTCGGACCGATTGCTCCCATGTGTATGTAACTTTGCCAGTACGATACGAAGAGGATGTAGTGAAATTGTGCTGTTGAAAACATAATGTATTTTACGCCTGACAGATGTGCGCCACTGTGGCCAGCCTGTCGACGCAAGCCGAGGCAGCTCGAGGCCGATCGTCGAGACGCTCCGATGACTGCTCAGTCCCTCCTTCGTGTTCTTCTGCAGCATCGTACGCTACAGAGCTACGAATGGCGGCCAAGTTCTCAGAAGGCGTCTGATATCGACGCAAGATGGTCAGCTGAGAAGCGCTACGCTGTGAGCCAGGCTGTACCTCGAATCAAGCCGCACCATTGCACCAAGAGCTCGCACGACTCGTATCGGGCGTCGTAGACGGCGGTGGTCGTCGAGGTGGCACGCAGCCACCTGCAGCTTCGACCCGCGCAAGCTTGTAGCAGTGGTGGAGTACACGGGCGCTTGGCGCTTGGGTGCGTCTCGGATGGCACAATGCCAAGATACTTTTTCTCAGTACCGCGCTGAGATATCCAACAATTGCACAACGGCAATCAGACAACAACAGGTCGATCCACGTCTTTTCGTACCGTTCGTGAGTGTTCCTTGGAACAACGAAATGGAATGGTCTCAACAAGTGCTTGTCGTCACCGCTCTGGCCAGCATCGCGTCGACAAGGTTCTTGGGTGCTCTGGAGCTGGCAAGCGCAACCGCATCATTAGTACGACCAGCATTGCGATTACGAGGAGATGCGGGAGCGAACGCCAGGGTCGGCGCTCCATGGCGTCCGATAACAGAGTCGTTGTCGCCTCTATGCTCAAGCCTTGGGTGGAGACACGCTGCGATGCAAACATACACCTCGACATTGCCTTGGTGCGCAGCGGCGATGTAGATGGCATCGACGGCTGCCTCGTCATCGGTGGGGGTGCAAGCCTCGCAAGGAACCGTCGTGACACGTGTTGCAAGCGAAGGCGCCTGCCGCGGTCCGTCGCTGGCATCTGCTTGATCCTCGCGCTAAGCTAAAAAAGCTCAACCGCGACGATGCACCACGGAAGTCCGCCGTGCTGGTGCGTCCTGAGCATTGGCCGAAGCGCATCATTCTGCAACACCGCGGCCTCCATGCTAATAATACAGGGTGATTGGTTGTTTTTCAGACTTGGGGACAAATGAAAGCGGCGCTCTTGAAGTAGCACGTCCCCAGAGCGGCGGCACGTGCTACCCTACCTCAGGTTGGCCCAAGGCGCATCCGTCGGAAAGCCCGGCGCGCATTCGGCAGCGCGCAGTGCTCCTTCGACCTGCAGCGCGCCGCTGGCCAACACGGACTACACGGGCCAGGACTTGAGTAACGTCGCTGCCACGTCCGTCAACCAGTGCTGCGCGGCTTGCCTCGCCGTCGCCAGCTGCAACGCCTACAGCTTCAAGGCCAACGTCTGCTACCTCAAGAGCGGCAGTAACAACCAAGTGTCGCTGCCGGGCGTCACGGCCGTCGCGCTCTACCGCTGCTCGGCGCCGCAATTCAACGTCGACTACGTCGGCAATGACATTGGCAATGTGGCGTCGCCATCGTACGTGCGCTGCTGCGAGCTGTGCCGCAACACGGCCGGGTGCAGCGCGTTCTCGTGGGCCAGCGGCGTGTGCTACTTGAAGAGCGCCAAGGATGCGACGACGAACACAGCCGGCGTCACCTCGGCCACGGTGCTCTAACGTTGTCTGGCAGCGCCACTCCTGTTCCCTGTATATCGTGTCCCTCTGCAATACGAAATGTTGAGGTTGAAGTACGTTTTGTTGTGAAGAGGGGTATGCCACATATAGAAAGAGAAGGAACTAGTGCTAGCAGCGAGGTTGGTCTAATCTATTCATTGCACACGGTCAGGGATCCTGAATGCAGCGCGATCACCACAGTCTGCTAGATCGTTGGCTGAAATGTCGAGTTACCAGCAGTTCCGCCTCCATGCGGGTTGAAGGGCTGGGCTGAAGCTAGCACTCGAGGGAAATGCCAATTGATCCATCACGTACGTCATCTGGACCAAGTTGGTGAGCACACCATGCACCGGGCAGTCGTAGCTGGTCTTGGATCGATTACTCCTTGTCAGTCACTGTGGTACCAATGGTATCCATTTTTCAATCGGTAGAACAACCCTACACCTACCCTAGCCTCACACTGTCCAGCCCAGTCGATTCGTATTTCACAATCGAACCTTCGTAGTCCGCACACACAACAGAACAATACATCGTAGAGTAGATATGAAAGCGTATATATGTCAAAAAGACGATTAAATGCGCTTGTAGACCTTGAGGTAGAGCGCGGCGAGACCCACGAGACGGTACGCGGCGTTGATCCAGAGCATAAAGGCCACGTCGTACAAGAGCGTCTCGCCGT